GTGCAGGCGCCTTGTGGCTGGCCACAATGACAGACAAATTTGAAACCGAATGCTGCAAACCATTTGTGCTTGACCACCCATGACTGCGAAGTATAAGGTGAGTAACATTGCTGTCCACCATTTAGTTTTTGACAACCAACATTTTGGTGTAGCACCACGGCTTTTTTTGCACTTGAACCGTGTACGTTAGTCACTGTCCGTACATTTATCGACCGTCTTCCGACCTTACGCTTAGTTGTATGAGGCTCCAGGGAAACCGTCGATTGACATGAGACTAAGAAGTTGACAGAAAGGCTCGATCTGGGTGGCTCGTGTCATCTTCCTGTATGCGCACCTCGAAATCGTGCACATTGGTGTGAACATATTCTATATGAAATGGCACAGTTGCAAAATCAATAACGCTGTTGCACACATTCCATTTGATGCTTATGTCTTTTAACTGGTTCCTTCCATTGGATTTCGTCTCTTCGCCTCCTCTCCTGATTGTTATTCTTCTACTGATCATAACGAATCGGATCATGATATATTGGTCCACGGCGCGTACCTATCTAACCCGAACTAAGCCGGTGTTACGCTGCCCAAGGTCGCTCTGGTTGGCTGATAAGCATACGACCTCCAAGTACCAGTTTATTCAACAGAAGAGACGGGGCGCTTATACTGAATACGGTGTTATAGAGCAAGCAGAAATGAATCCTGTACAACTCTTTCGAAATATGGTGAAAAGCGTTATAAAAATTGTCAGCCATGGATATCGTTATCGTTCTCATGTAACATTCAAAATATCTGACGGTATTGCAAGACTCACAAATGTGACATGTCATCGTAAGTGTGCAATCGTTCTCTGAATCGAATAGTGCTAAAATCTAACAACGTTTTGAACTGCCGCACAGATGTTGCCTCTATCACATGTTCAGGTAAACTGTTCCGAATGTTTACCACTCTCCGTTCGAAGCACAGTGGGTGGGGAACTCGCTTCACATCCGGCACGACAAGTTTGTATTTGTGTCCGCGTGTGCTGCATGACCCTCGTAAGTACAGCATTGGCCTCAGCGTGGGGAAGTCACCGAGATGTAGAATACGGTAGGTCATAATGAGGTCGAGTCGTACCCGACGGTAGGGCAAAGTGTAGAATCCTAGTTTCTCGCACTGGTCTTCATACCCGAATCCACGTAAACTCGGGATGAGTCCGGTAGCAACATGTTGAACCCGTTCGATCTTTTGTGCCTCGCCTCGGGTAATCGGAAAGTAGGCGGGCGAGCCGTACCTCTAGCATTGGTCTAATGATGGAAGAGAAGAGGCGAGTGACAGCCTCAACAGACCACGTGCCGAAGCTACGTTTGAGCGCCCAAAGCATGCGCAGTCCGTTACGATATAGCCTGTTCGTGTTGTCCACGGACTTCAAATCGTAGTGCGATAGTACACCTATGTCCTTCACGGAGGGTGTGGAATATAGCGGTTGGTAGTAAAGGCTGTAGGTTCGGCCGTCAGCACCCTTCCTCAGGCTCATAAATACAGACTTGGCTGGGTTGACCGGGAGATGAACTTCAGCAGACCATGGGGATAAGCGCTTTAGGTCTTGCTGAAGTAGGCCACAGTCGTGGGGAGCGTCAATTTCTCTCCAAATCTTCTTATAGTCCGCAAACAAGGTACACGGCGACCGGAGAAGCTGCGGTAGATCGTTGATGTGCATCAAGAACAGAATGGGCCCAGCACAGTGCCTTGAGGCACGCCACTTGTAGAGGCATACCAAGCAGTTAAATGGTCTTCGACCTTCACTCTCCACTTTCGATACTTATATGGTGCGGTTAACCTTTCTGAACGTTCTTTGTTCTCTTTCGTCCTTTACCAATAATAGTAGCAGATTGTTCTGGAACATTTCCGATCCATCATTGAGATTTTCTGGCGAATTCCTAGGTTAAAGATCCGATCTTAGGGACATGTGCACCTTGTTCCATTCTTTAGCATGTCCACCTCCTAGCAACTAGCAATGCGTCCATTACTAGAAATACCTTTATCAAGTTGTGTTTTAAGCTCCGTCACGTGTAGTCACATTTAATCCCCAGTTTTGTGTGCTCACCTCTCTTCGACAGTATTCTGCACCCATTGTTGATCCAGTGCAGCTTATCCGTGAACGTCGTCCATCTTTAGCACGGGAATTAACAGCGACTGACCTCGATATCTGTTTCATCCACTCGTGTCTACCCACCGTTTTGATAACCAAGCTCAGCGGTCATCGAACACCTTATAAGTGGTAGCAATCGCAACATTACCCTTGTGCTTCCATAGAGCTTTGATCTTAGACACGATACAACCCAATCACAAAATGTCCTCCAAGATTTGCGTTTCGCACATCGGTCATGTCTCCTCTTCAGCTGCATGTCTTCAAGTGCGAAACAGGCTATGGTTGCTTAATCGGACTCCACACTGCGCCTGGGAGTCTGTTTCGGGTTCGATGCGTGCAGGGCGACTAACTGCAATCGGTTTCTTCTACTCCGTTGCTCACATATCCGGGCTGTCAGCCGCATAACTTCACAGTTAGAAACTGCAATAACTGGATGATGTTTACACTGCAACTCTTTCTACCTTCTATGTCCGGTAATGACAAGTTTACTGGCTTCAATTCTCGTCCGTTGCTTTACTACGGAACGAGAATCGCAGATTATGGGAGAGTAAGCCGGTTTTCGTCCGGAGCGAGGCTGTATAGACCACAGCGATCACAGCTCTCAATCGTTCTCGTGCTGTTGGCCTGGATTCCGTCTCACCTGCACTGTTTAAGGATGGAGGTGAGGTCCCCTGCAATTCACTGACCTCCCTGTTGGAACAGGTCCGGAAGGATGAGACTGTCCCAGATAACTACGGTGAATCTATTATAGTGGCGAAATGCAAGAAGGGCAGTCGCACCGACTGTGTGAACCACAGTGGTGTTTGCCTAACGCCAGTTGTGACAAAATTACTGGCCTCGATTCTCGTTCGTCGCTTCACTGCGAAGCGAGAATTATGGAAGAGCAACCAGGCTTCCGCATATGACGGGGCTATATGGAACATATATTCACTCTGCGGCAAGTTCTAGAGCAGCGCCACACGTACCGCAGGCCGACAATAGCTGTGCTCCTTGACTTCAAGGGTGCGTTCGACCCAGTCGATCGATGCATTCCGTTCGAAATACTTTCGTGGATAGGTGTTCCCATGAAATATGTGAACATTTTACGTGTTCTATAATCTGACATGACAGGCCGCGTCAGGGTGTACGATGATTTGTCGGATGCCTTTTCGACAACAAGTGGTATTCGTCAGGGTTGTTCAATTTCCCATTTTTTTCAACTTTTCGTGGACTCCATCATGGAGTGTCTCCTTGCGAATCCTCACGATGCAGGCGTTGAGGTGCTATTTGGTGAAAGGCCTGTTGAACTTGATTATGCGGAGAATATTGTCTTGCTTTTTGACCATGTTGTGGCGGCACAATCAACCCTCATTGACTTCTCAAGAGTGATTCCATCATGTGGTATGCGCTTCACACCTTCAAAATGCATTTTCTTATTAACACCACCAGTCATCCTTGATGGCGAGGAACTCGTGGTAGCTGATCACTTCACCTACCTTGGCAGCTGCATTGACAACGATGAACGCATAGCAACTGAAGTCATTTCACGCATTGCAACAGCTAGAACTGCATTCTTGTATCTGCGACATCCTTGCCGTCAGAAAGGGGTTTCCCTCAGTCTGAAAGGCCGTGTTTACAAGACCACAGTGAGGGCCGTCCTGCTCTATGGGAGTGAGACTTGGCCGCTTCGCTTTGAGGGCTTGCGGCGCTTTCAAGTCTTTGATTATCGGTGTCTGCGAAGCATTGCTGATGTCAGATGGCACCAGCATGTCCGTAGCGATTATGTGCGTGGGCGAGTACTAGACAGTGATAACCAGGCTAGTTGCTTAGAACAGCAGATAACACTGAATAACTTGCGTTGGCTCGGATACCTATTACTTAGGCCCGGTCACCGCTTACCGAGGAGAGCCTTGTTTAGTCTGCCAGATACAGGGTGGCGCAAGGCTTGACATGGACAAAAGTTGACTTGGCAGCGGGAAATGAAGTCACTGACGACCTAACTTGGTGCCGTCGGTCCATCTCGCCTTCCAGCTTGTAGTCCACATGACGCACCTGTGCTTAGCACCTGGCTCGCAGTTGACACCAGTGGCATGTTTGCTGTCCTCTCCTTGTCGGACTGTCTGCTTAAAGTGTGTTTGGTGCTGAGTTATCTGCGGGACAGAGAAAGCCACAAGAAAACTGTCTCGCGGATACCGCCTTTGCACGATAATCAGCTGTTTGTGACGGTATGTTGTCTACAAGATGTATTCGCCTTAACTCTGTGTTTGTTTAGGGTATTACAGTTTTACGCTAGGTCACTATTTGCCCCTTGTTGTTCTACGTTCCGTAGGTCACCGTGGTTGTACGTCAGCGAAGCATCAGTTCAAATGGTTGATGTACTGCTGTTGATGCTGTTGATAATGATGTTGCTTCATATTGGGGGCTTTTGGCGTCCTCAGTCTTCCAGCAAGTTGTGTTGACCCAACCGGTATACGGTATAGTCATTCTCGTTTACTCTAGCCAGTGCATTGACGGGTTAGTTACATAATATCTGTTCATCACATTATCTTTGGCCTCTTTCGCATCACCTACACCAACATCCTCTTAGATGCTGTATGGCTACGTAGCGTTGCTAAGTGCCAGTTGTTTGTGACTAGTTCTCCCCGTTGTTTTGCCCTAGACTGTCTCATTTCGAGGTGATAGAAGTTAAGTGCATAGATATGCACAGTCCCCATCATTCGTAACTGTCTTTTTACATCGTTACTACCCACTTGCTACATCACAGGTAAAAATCACATACTTGACTTTCAATTCCTTCTTCTTTTGTTATCAGCTAACGTTTATCGCGAGTCATGTTACGATACGATTGTCTCTTTGCCCGGAGACACAGTTGCTAAAACTTTTTCTCTTTCACTTTTAGACGGGTGAGCTTACTCTTGAGCGAATAGCTCATGCAGTGCAGTTGAAAAAGACCCGCGAGGAACAGAAGACCACGCAATCCAACGCACCCGCTTCCTCATGCTCCACCATCGACTCTCAACCGGACCCATCTCGCCAAAAGAAAGCTTCCGCTCGGAACCAAGACAATACTAAACCTCCGCCTGTCCCATTGTCGAAACGAAAGTTAAAAGACGCCAGGACTTCAAAATCAGCTGTTCAGTCAGGCAAACCAAGAACTTTGAGCAGCAGTAGTAGCTGTAGCAATGATGGCGGTGGTAGTGGTGGTGGCCGCGCGAACACCTCCGATGGGTCGGAAGGTCGGCGGGAGGCTGGCGCGGTTGCAAGTGACACGGATGTAGACACAGACTCAAGCAGTTCCAGTGGTCTGTCCGATGTGCCTCAGTCCGGCAATTCACAACGCGCTAAGCAGATGGCTGCTGGGTCTCGAGAATCAAGTTATCTACCTGTGCATCGTAAGCTTATCGAACACGATCTGAAGTTGAGTGACTCCGATTCGGATGATTGATGGCGATATTCGTCCAACCCAATTCTCACGCCCGTGCAGTTTGCCGTTACTCTACTCACGTTCCGTGCCTATTGCTCTCACTCCATTCCCCCCATCACTTTCGCTTGATTTTGGTTACAGAGCTCATTCCGTTCCTCTTGATTTGTAAATAAACCGAGTTCACTATTGATTTGATACAGGCCACTAATCTGTGATCTTGTCACTTCGAATCATGCCTTCAAATGTCCCTCCGGGTTTGTAACCACATACCGCTTCGCTATTCATCTAGTGAATAGCGCAAAATAGTCTGTTCAAACGCTCACTCATCCTCCAAATGTGACAATCGGCAGTTGTAAAAGAATGTGCGTATTTTTTCGAGATTGGTGTTCTGCCGTCCTAGTTTGATAATGGTCTTGGCTTGTGTTCTTCTGTAATCGTTCTGGATGATTTTGCCTGTCGGATCGACTTTCACCTCATGATCCTTAGATCTGCTGCGTTTTATTATGGTGAAACAAAAATTCGCGAAAACAGAAGGACTACTACAGCCGTGATCACGTGCTCTGCAGCTTTACAGATCGGCCGACTTGGAGTGTATGTTTCGCTTGTAGTGCACCTTTTTGGATGAAATCCCAAATTTGCTGGACAAGGAGTCGAGAAAGACTGAGTTGATCAGGTGCTTGTTGTTTCTGGGTGAGTCAGCTGACAGCCAGTGCTAGTTTGTCCAGTGCATCTTGGCACGTTTGTGAGCTGTCACAACTTATACCATATCGTCAGCATGCTCCAAGTCAACAAGTCGTTTTCCTTGGAGCAGATCCACACCTAAGTCGTGTCCTGTGAACGCGATTTCCATGATTTCGTCACCAGCGAAGTTTAAGAGGGAAGGTGACGGTAGGCATCCTTGTCTCACACCATTGGAGATATTGAAAGCCAACGGCAGCTTGCCATAAGCCCTCATTTTGTCCAAGCTACGCGCGTATAATGATCGGCTAATATTTACATATTTCTCGGACGCATCTTTCCGGAGTAGATAGTCCCAAAGGGCACATCGATCAGCCGAATCGAATACACCTTTGATGTCGAGGAACACGACAACGGTGGGCCCCCAATATATGTGGCGGTGCTCCAACAACTGACGCAAAGTGAAGATGTGGTCAATGCAGCCACGACCTCGACGAAACCCGGCTTACTCTTCATAAATATGGCTTTCACGAGTACCAGTCAGTGTGAAGGATGACAGTGTCAAGCAATTTGGATGCGATGGAGATCAGACTGATTCCTTTCTGGCTACCGCATTCCGATCGTGAGTCTCCTCTGAAAATCGGGACTATTACAAAGCGGATCCAGTCGGTTGGGACAGTATCTTGCTCCCATACCTTCACTAGTAACTCGTGTAAATCATCCACAAGAGCAGGACCCCCGAATTCGAAGAGGGTTGGTGGAAGATCATTTTGTTCCGCGGATTCAGTTAACTTAAACAGTATGATCTCATGTTCGATTTCTGAGCGAGAGGGTGGATCAAAGGGACAGCCCACTTAGCGGGGCGATCAGTGGCCGATGAGGAATCTAACAATTCCAACCGAGTAAATTGTCTTTCAAAGTGCTCAGCCCAACGCTCCAAGCGTTTTACCAAGTTGCGGATAGGCTGTTCACTCTCGTCACGTATAGTTTCACTAACACCAGGTCTCCTGCTGCCCGTTTCCCGAATCAGACGGAATAACTTACGATGGTTACCAAGGGCAGCGACCATTTCCATCTCTGAAGCATGATGAGATCACCAGGATTCGCGGTCTCTCTTCAGGCTATCACGCAGTTTTGCCCGGAGCTCTTTGCGAGTTTCATTGTGTTCGCTTCCAGCCGGAATATTCCGGCGAGCATCGATAAGTTCCAGAGACCGCGAAGAGACCCAATGTCCATGTTGGCGATTAGACTCACCACATGAGGATTTTCCTGCTGCTATTAAGGTCTGGTGAATATGAGACCAGTGAGCGTTTACTCAGCTCGCATGTCAGCGTAGATTGATAGGCATTCAGAACAGCTGACTTCGCCAGTTAGCTGGTGTCAATGCGCTCACAACCTCGTCGTGGGCGTCCGCCAAAACGCATCCGCAGGTCAGCAAATAAAAGTGCACGGTCGGTGTCCACACATGTTCTCCAAATCGAGCGACAGTTCTGGACACAGCCACTCCAGCGGTAACTGATCGCAATGTGATCGATTTGCGTCCATAGCTGGTTCGAGGCTGGTGGGCGCCAAGTCACCCTCCGGCGGGTGCTGTGTCGGGAATTAGTGCTCGCAAGAAATAAGCGGGCATCTTCACAGAACTTAAGTAACCACTCACCGTCATCATTACGAGAGGCTACACCGTGTTGCCTGCCCAGATGCAGTTCATCAGTGGATAATTTTCCAACTTGAGCGTTCAGATCCCCAGCCAGCACTAGTGTCCGTACGATGGAGCTCGTTCAGTTGGCGATGGAAATCGTCTTTTACCGAAACATCGTTAGAGTTTGTAGGCGCATAGACGTCGATGACGAATATACACCTTTTCGTCCCGCGCGACTTCGCAGCTTTGAACGAGCCAGCCAATCGGATCGCATACGTCCGGCTACTGATTTGGATCCAGTCAACCAGAGCAGCTTCAGCTCGGGGACTGGGCAATGCCACCACCAACTTGGCCGGTGCTCGAAGCTGCATCGTCACCGGATAGGCGCATTGGTGTCACCTGACGGGAATCGCAAAGCGAACGCAGAGCTCGAGTTTTTCAGGCGGCAGCAGATATTGATCGAGACGGTCTTTAGTGTTCGGGCAAGTGCTGCCTGTTGACCGATCTGTAGCCGTGTGCGTACACTGAGGCATACCAATCTGAAGGAGGATCGAGGGTTCCAAATGAAAGCCGATGAAGTGGGGTGGATCGCTTGGTTAGACGTGGGCTTGTTGACAGGGCAGGAGTGACGCTCTGCGTTTGCATGTGAGTTGAAACTAGAAGCTAAACGCCTATCAAAGCAGGGTGGAGGAAGGACAAGAATTGGGGAATTGGAAACAGGGAGATAAAAGTAAACTTAGAACAGGATGGAAAGAGTGAAACAGCGTATGAAGGACGGGAAGGCTTGAGCAGTAGCATCCGAACCCCTATCCACTCTGCTCGATGCAGCAGATAGGATGCCGTTTATTATCCTCTGCGACGGCCGGAGCATCAAGAAATTGTTTAATGAAGGTTTCATAGTATTGCGTGGGCAGTAGACTGTCAGGTTGCGCAGGACTAGACAGGAGAACGATTAGGGTTCTCAACCAAAGCCTTTGGTCCAGAAATCTGACCGCAAGGCAGCGGGTTTGGCGGTGGGCTACAAGGAGTCCGTTTTAATGAATAAGGAGTCACCCTCATTCCAACCCCCAACCTGGAGGACCAGGAGGCTGAGTTTGTCTGGCCTCTAACCACTGACCAGTCTGCTATGAGTGGCTCTGAAGGTGCAAAAGCACCACCCAGCATAGCTAAATGAGTATCTGCGGCACGCAAACCATCGCAGCACCCTGAGGTCCACTCTCATTCCAATGGCAGTCCGTTTACGGTATAAATGAGTTATCTTTGGGTGGAGTTGCTCGTTACACAGAGCAGTGAAGGCCTCGATGAAATCTCCTCGTTGATGTCATCATAATTTTACGCGATGCTACTTCCATCCCTTCAGCATTCATAATGTCTAGGTGCTTTGATTTTAGATATCCCAATTCACCCCTGTTCTAATTCCCTATTTGTAAGGTCGTCTCCCAATTCATGTTTTATGGTGGCGAGGCACCGGTACGCAACAGTGAAGCATCACCGTTGCTAGTGCTGGGTCTTGAGTAATAGTAATATAGCTCTCCCACTAACTATCCCATCTCCAATTCATGAGACTATCGGAGCGATTCCGTGTACCCGCGGAGCGATTGCATGGGTCGAAGTAAACTGGGAATTTGCCGAAAGACATTTTTACTCTTAACTGTTATGTCTGGGAACCGATGTTTATTCGAGAAAGTTACGGAGAGCATCCCTTCCATTTAGCGAAGTTACCGTAGGTTTGCGTTGATAACGGATCAGTTGTCAGCACAGAGCGGTCTTCGTGCGTGCCACTAGAGCAGAGTTGATTGTCCCCTACCTATTGCCGTAAAATTAGTGGACTGTTTCGCTCAAACGCGCCACATGTCCAAGCCCTGCTCTTATATCGTTGTTATATCGGCACATCGAAGCAGGGTCTCGAACCTTCTAATATCCCTCACCAGTAGGCCGAGTAGATCTATCGTAGCGTTACCGATCACTGTTCAAGTCAGTCAACTGAGAGGCGGATACATGACACACATCGAGGGAATTTAAACTGGCCTTCGGTTGCATCTGTTTCAGGTAGGTTGCTTTCCTTCGAAAGTGGTAGTCTGCTGCGTTCAGGCAAGCCATCCTTGGTAGGATTTTAGTTTACCTGTGTAAAAGACAAAGCAGATGTCGCTTTCATTTCGGCAACCCTCAACAGACACTTTTGTATAGACTCCGTCAACGTACCCTACATCTGGGATGAAGACGTATCCGCCGTTGTCCATGTAATATCTCTAAACTGTTGCCTACCCTGTTCAACTCAATATCATTTCACGGCGCTATCTTCCCTTTCTTTGCTTCAAATCTTCAGCTCAACTAATTTTGACACGGCCATCTTCTCCGATCGCAAATTAACTCGTCCTAACTACGCAGACCTGGTGGTTTTATGGTTACTAGTCTTACTGGCATGCGCTTTTCATTTTCAAAGCTCAAAATAATGTTTCATGGCTACTGACTGTTTACTGATACTTTTGGCATTTACAACGACGATCCGAAACCAGTTGATCGATACGCCTAACTCAGGGGCTGCATTATCAGTGACGGCTAAAGTTACTTCGCATATTACGAAAGTCAGAACTATATTCATCAATCTGTGGCGTTATTCCGGGACTTCCTTAAGTCTTGACGACCACGGTGATAGTTGATCCCCTTCGATCTGAGGCGCCTTCAAGTCTTTCAACTTGGTTGTTTGCGGAACGTTTCTGGTGTCGGGTGATAACAGCATATCCGCAGTGGTGTGGTGCACAGGTGCCTACTGATCGACGGTGTTCAGCCTAGTTAGATCAACAAGTGGGACTGAATACTGATAAATATAGTGTTACACTGGCTTGGGCACGTAATACACATGCCTCACCATCGCTTACCAAGGTGGATGTTTTTTTCAGGATTGTGAAAGGTGGGACTTGAATTAAATCGTCGGAACTTCGTCACAGTCCGGTGCTCTTTACCGCGGACACGTCTGCGTAGGGTCGTGGATTCTAACCCCACAGCGGACAGAGGGAACACGAATTGCTAACGAGCCCCATAAGGATGAAAAGGCCGTACAATGCTTTTCCTGATGTGTACTTAACTGAGAGAGGCTTTGTTTTGCTTACTTGATATTGGATAGCATGAGACTCAAAGGGCACAATCATTGGAGCGGAAGTCGCTGATCCCCAGGATG